TTTAGGAGAAGGCTTACAGCTTTTCATCTCTTCCCCTGCATGCATCAGCCTTATTAGAGATATTAACAATGCAAGGAATTCGAAAGAGCAGGCGAAATATATACAAACACTGATCTCTGGCTGAAGGAGACTCGAACCTACGATCCTTGGAACAAGGTACGCAGTGCTTTACCAAGTAAGCCTTCTCCTGAAAGCTGGCTGTCTTGGATCAAAGTCTAGTGCAAGCTGGACTCCAAGGTATTGGTCCGGTGTGGGTAGATTGGTAAAGCACTTCGTACCTTGTTCCAAGGTTCGTAGATTCAAGTCTCCTTCAGCCATATATATATATATATATATATATATATATATATATATATATATATATATATATATATATATATATATATATATATATATATATATATATACACGCACACACATGCACACACGCACGCACACACACACGCATATATATATAAATATATATATATTATATATATATATATATATATATATATATATATATATATATATATATATATATATATATATATATATATGTAGTATGCAAACTATGATGCTTTTTCGACTTTTTTGTCTTCAGAGTATGAGGGACACAAATTACCCTGGAACAACTAACATATGTAACAGATACTTCACTAGCTCTTTGGTTGTGTTACTGAATAAACTAGACAGTAAGAATACCCAGTCAGCAGAAGCTTCTACTTCTAGACCCACTGGGTCTAGAAGTAGAAGCTGTTTTCAAGAATTCGAGTCACAACACTAAAGGATGATATGGGAAAAAAATACGCAAACAGCTCCTGTTAGACGTCTTTAGATTCTTTTCCCCTGAATTACGTTTATTCTTTTCTTCGAGAATAAGTGTCCCCAATCAGCACCAGACATGATACTTTCCTATATAACATTAATACATACAATACAGTAACTTCAACAATTCACAACTCGCACACAACCTGGAAACTCCAGACTAGTGATTTTAACCTATTCAGGATAGAAACATCGTCTAAAGTTTTCCCTCCGTAGTGTGAGTTAGTTGTGTATTGCTAACTCTCAATAATCAAATTTGAACTTGAGATAACAATCTAATCTCTTGGAAGCTCAACTACCCGAGACAGTCATTTGTCAACCACAATTCTGTTAACGTGTAGCTTTGAATTAATTCACTGACTAGGAACTCTTCAGCCTAGTTTGCTAGGTGCTATTTAATGGGTCATATAATGTGTTGTAAAATTTATGTATGTATTATATAATGTGTTATATAATATTTTATATAATATTTTATATAATGTTTTGTATTTGCTTTATAATGCATTGTATACCGCGTCATACAACGCGATACATCTGTTGTATAAAGCGTTATGTATTATACAGGACGTTATACAATGTTTTATGTAATGATTTGTATAATGTGTTACATAATGTGCTATATACCATGTTATGTAGTACATAATGTTATGTAATGTTATATAATGTGTTATATATAGTATGTTGTATAATGTGTTATTTACTTAAAATGTTTAACTTGGACATAGAGAAAATAGATGAAAGCCAGAGAGGAGGGTGAAGAGGAGGAGGAGGAGGAAGAAACCTAACTATTGTGATGGACTATGATAGGAGGGGAAGGTAGGTGAGGAGGAGGAGGAAGAGGAGGAGGAGGAAGAGGGGAAGAAGGAGGAAGAAGGTGGAGGCTTGAAGGAGACACCTCACTCGTCATTTACTGAACACTGACGTAAATAAACAGGTAACAATATTGATTCTCCCATCCCACTCTCACTATCTTCCCCATCTGTTGGGAAGCTTCAACGTACATGCTTCAGTAGTACAGCTGTGAGGCTGAGTAATTGCATAGAAATGCGAGTCATATGGGAATCTTTCACACAGTAACAGAGGTGAGGTGTCCAGCCTTGGCGTAATTAGTTACATTATCAGTATTGATGTGACTGGTGGATGTGCAGCCACCTGTATGTAAAGGGAGGGGGAGGAGGAGGAGGAGGAGAAGGAGGAGGAGGAAGAGGAGGAAGAGGAGGAGAAGGAAGAAGAGGAAGAGGAGGAAGAGGAGGGGATGGACAAATGGAGTGGGGAGAAGAACGAAGGGAGTCAGAAGGAGGAGCGAGGAGAGTAGAAGGGAAGGGTAGAAGGAGTGAGGATAATAGGAGGAGAACGATGAGGAGCAGAAAGGGAGGGGAAAGAGGAGAGGAGCCAGGGAAGCAGGAGGAGAAGGCAAGGGTAGGAGGAAGAATAGGGAAGGGGGAGAAGGGAACGAAGGAGGGGTGGACGATAATCAAAAAGGAAGGAGGAGAGGGAGATGGGGGGGTAGAAAAATAAGAGAAGGAAAGGAGGAAGAAGGATAATTTGGAGGAGGTTGAAAGGGAAAAGGAGGACATAAGTGACAAGGAAAATTTGAGGAAAATGGAAACATCAAGAGGTAAATAAGCAAGAAAGCACCAGAGACAAAAAGTGCAAAGATAAAAACAAAAGAAAGAGAAAAGAGAGATAAAGTAAAAACAGAAGACATGAGACAGAGGAAGTTTTAGAGTAAATAAAAGAGATGAGAAATGTGAAGAAAAAAAAAAGACTACCAAAATAATTTTAAGTAAGTAATTAAAAGAACTTTTCCGTTCCTGTAATTTTTTTTTTTTCAGTAACGAAATATTTGTTAGAGACGATAGTTTACGATAGGTTTAAGAGACGATAGTTTATTATAATTTTAAGAGACGATAGTTAATTATAATTTTAAGAGACGATAGTTTATTATGATTTAAAGAGATGATAGTTAACTATAATTTTAAGAGACGATAGTTTACCACACATCTAAGAGACGATAGTTTACCACACATCTAGGAGACGATAGTTTACCACACATCTACTTGACGATAGTTTACCACACATCTAGGAGACGATAGTTTACCACACATCTAGGAGACGATAGTTTACTACACATCTAGGAGACGATAGTTTACCACACATCTAGGAGACGATAGTTTACTACACATCTAGGAGACGATAGTTTACCACACATCTAGGAGACGATAGTTTACCACACATCTAGGAGACGATAGTTTACTACACATCTAGGAGACGATAGTTTACCACACATCTACTTGACGATAGTTTACCACACATCTAGGAGACGATAGTTTACCACACATCTAGGAGACGATAGTTTACTACACATCTAGGAGACGATAGTTTACCACACATCTAGGAGACGATAGTTTACCACACATCTACTTGACGATAGTTTACCACACATCTAGGAGACGATAGTTTACCACACATCTAGGAGACGATAGTTTACTACACATCTAGGAGACGATAGTTTACCACACATCTACTTGACGATAGTTTACCACACATCTAGGAGACGATAGTTTACCACACATCTAGGAGACGATAGTTTACTACACATCTAGGAGACGATAGTTTACCACACATCTACTTGACGATAGTTTTACCACACATCTAGGAGACGATAGTTTACCACACATCTAGGAGACGATAGTTTACTACACATCTAGGAGACGATAGTTTACCACACATCTACTTGACGATAGTTTACCACACATCTAGGAGACGATAGTTTACCACACATCTAGGAGACGATAGTTTACTACACATCTAGGAGACGATAGTTTACCACACATCTACTTGACGATACTTTACCACACATCTAGGAGACGATAGTTTACCACACATCTAGGAGACGATAGTTTACTACACATCTAGGAGACGATAGTTTACCACACATCTAAGAGACGATAGTTTACCACACATCTAGGAGACGATAATTTACCACACATCTAGGAGACGATAGTTTACTACACATCTAGGAGACGATAATTTACCACACATCTAGGAGACGATAGTTTACCACACATCTAGGAGACGATAGTTTACCACACATCTAGGAGACGATAATTTACCACACATCTAGGAGACGATAGTTTACCACACATCTAAGAGACGATAGTTTACCACACATCTAGGAGACGATAATTTACCACACATCTAGGAGACGATAGTTTACTACACATCTAGGAGACGATAATTTACCCCCACATCTAGGAGACGATAGTTTACCACACATCTAGGAGACGATAATTTACCACACATCTAGGAGACGATAATTTACCACACATCTAAGAGACGATAGTTTACCACACATCTAAGAGACGATAGTTTACCACACATCTAGGAGACGATAGTTTACCACACATCTAGGAGACGATAATTTACCACACATCTAGGAGACGATAATTTACCACACATCTAGGAGACGATAATTTACACACATCTAGGAGACGATAATTTACCACACATCTGGGAGACGATAATTTACCACACATCTAGGAGACGATAATTTACCACACATCTGGGAGACGATAATTTACCACACATCTAGGAGACGATAATTTACCACACATCTAAGAGACGATAATTTACCACACATCTGGGAGACGATAATTTACCACACATCTAAGAGACGATAATTTACCACACATCTAGGAGACGATAATTTACCACACATCTAGGAGACGATAATTTACCACACATCTAGGAGACGATAATTTACCACACATCTAGGAGACGATAATTTACCACACATCTAAGAGACGATAGTTTACCACACATCTAAGAGACGATAGTTTACCACACATCTAAGAGACGATAGTTTACCACACATCTAAGAGACGATAGTTTACCACGCATCTAGGAGACGATAGTTTACCACACATCTAGGAGACGATAGTTTACCACACATCTAAGAGACGATAGTTTACCACGCATCTAGGAGACGATAGTTTACCACGCATCTAGGAGACGATAGTTTACCACACATCTAGGAGACGATAGTTTACCACACATCTAGGAGACAATAGTTTACCACACATCTAAGAGACAATAGTTTACCACACATCTAGGAGACAATAGTTTACCAAAGATAGCCTTCAAATTTTTATCAGAATACATAAGACATCCTTCATAAAACAGTGCTAAAGCTCTATTACGTTTATTTCCAGCTCCTCGCACTGACCCAAACAGACGGTCGTTCAACAGTAAGGAACATCATGCGCTGTATTTTACCGTTGATGTATCAGAGTACTATGTACTATTTTTTATTTTTTTTTAGAAAACGAATTGTCTATTTTTCCATCCCTTATCTTTTTTTTTTAGTCTTCCCTTCTTCACTATTCTGGGAAATTTGAAATTTTCCTGTAAAAGGTGTTCCTATTTGTTTTTAATAATGATAATTTTAATAATAACAGTAATAATAATAATGTTACTAATTATCATTATTAGTATTACTAATTATTTATAATTATTACTGGCGAGATGAATGCATGTTATCTTGCGTCTTAGACTCAGATTAAATGCCAGGTTGATTACCTTGGTGTGAGACCTTGTGTATGTAACCTTATGTGACCTTGTGCGTTACCTTGTGTGTAACCGTGTGGGTGACCTTAAGAGTGACTGTAATTGACCTTGCAGGCGAGCTTGTGTGTGACCTAGTAGGTGACTTTGTGTGTGTGTGATCGTGTGAGCTTGTGTGACCTCGTGTGGGACTTTGTGGATGGACTTGTGTGTGGCTGTGACCCTATGTGTGACCATGTGTCTGACTTTGTGAAGAGCCTTTTGGGTGACCTTGTATGTGACGTTGTGAATGACCCTGTGTGTGTTATTGTGTGTAGCTTTAGGTACTCAACTAACTGTGGTTGCAGGGGTCGAGTCTCAGCCCTTGGCCCCGACTCTTCGCTGACCGCTCTAAGGCTGAATAAGTATTTACCAACATCCCTGTGACTCATCTGTGCTTTTAACTTCCAGCTGTGACCTCGTGTACCTGAGACGCGCTCTTACAGACTCTCCCTGTCCACCCTGTTAATTCCTCTGTGGCATTAATTAAAAAGTAACCTTGGGAATGACCTGTGTGACCTTATGGATGACCTCGAATGTGATTTTGTCTGTGACCTTGTAGTTAGTTACCAGTAGTCGAAGGCATTTGCCGATAAACACTTGCCCTGATTTGTGTGTGTGTATGTGTGATCTTGTGCGTGAGCTTATGTGACCTTGTGTGCAGTCCTGTGAGTGACAGTGTTTGTGACCTTTTGAGTGTTCTTGTGCAAGAACATGTGCTGATTTATGTGTGTCTTGTGAATGTTGTGGTGTATGATCTTGTGTGTGTGTGATCTTGTGAGTGTACTGGTGTGTGATCTTCTGTGTGATATTGTGAGTGTTGTGTGTGTTTGCTGGTGTGTGAATTTGAGTGTGATCTTGTGAGTGTACTGGTGTGTGATCTTCTGTGTGATCTTGTGAGTGTACTGGTGTGTGATCTTCTGTGTGATCTTGTGAGTGTACTGGTGTGTGATCTTCTGTGTGATCTTGTGAGTGTACTGGTGTGTGATCTTCTGTGTGATCTTGTGAGTGTACTGGTGTGTGATCTTCTGTGTGATCTTGTGAGTGTACTGGTGTGTGATCTTGTGTGTGATCTTGTGAGTGTACTGGTGTGTGATCTTCTGTGTGATCTTGTGAGTGTACTGGTGTGTGATCTTCTGTGTGATCTTGTGAGTGTACTGGTGTGTGATCTTCTGTGTGATCTTGTGAGTGTACTGGTGTGTGATCTTCTGTGTGATCTTGTGAGTGTACTGGTGTGTGATCTTCTGTGTGATCTTGTGAGTGTTCTGGTGTGTAATCTTCTGTGTGATCTTGTGAGTGTACTGGTGTGTGATCTTCTGTGTGATCTTGTGAGTGTACTGGTGTGTGATCTTCTGTGTGATCTTGTGAGTGTACTGGTGTGTGATCTTCTGTGTGATATTGTGAGTGTTGTGTGTGTTTGCTGGTGTGTGAATTTGAGTGTGATCTTGCATGTGATCTTGTATGTGCTCTTGTGTGTGATCTTGTTTGTGATCTTGCGTGTGATCTTGTTTGTGATTTTGCGTGTGAACTTGTGTGTGATTTTCTGTGCTATCTTGTGTGTGAGCTTGAGTGTGATCTTGTGTGATCTTGCGTGTGATCTTGTGTGTGTGATCTTGCGTGTGATCTTGTGTGTGATCTTGCGCGTGATCTTGTGTGCGATCTTGCGTGTGATCTTGTGTGTGACTTTGTGTGTGATCTCGTGTGTGATCTTGTGTGTGATCTTCAGTGTGATTTTGTGTGTGACCTTGTGTGTGATCTTGTGTGTGATCTTGTGTGTGATCTTGTGTGTGATCTTCAGCGTAATTTTGTGTGTGAACTTGTGTGTGATCTTGTGTGTGATCTTGTGTGTGATCTTCAGCGTAATTTTGTGTGTGAACTTGTGTGTGATCTTGCGCGTGATCTTGTGTGTGATCTTCAGTGTGATCTTGTGTGTGACCTTGTGTGTGATCTTGTGTGTGATCTTGTGTGTGATCTTCAGTGTGATTTTGTGTGTGAACTTGTGTGTGTGATCCTGTGTGTGATCTTGTGTGTGATCTTGTGTGTGACCTTGTGTGTGATCTTCAGTGTGATTTTGTGTGTGAACTTGTGTGTGTGATCTTGTGTGTGACCTTGTGTGTGACTTTGCGTGCGATTTTGTGTGTGATCTTGTGTGTGACCTTGTGTGTGATCTTGCGTGTCATCTTGTGTGTGATCTTGTGTGTGATCTCTTGCGTGATCTTGTGTGTGGTCTTGTGTGTGATCTTGTGTGTGACCTTGTGTGTGATCTTGCGTGTCATCTTGTGTGTGATCTTGTGTGTGATCTATTGTGTGACCTTGTGTGTGATCTTGTGTGTGATCTTGTGTGTGATCTTACGTGTGATCTTGTGTATGATCTTGCGTGTGAGCTTGTGTGTGATCTTGTGTGTGATCTTGTGTGTGATCTTGCGTGTGATCTTGTGTGTAATTTTTTGTGTGACCTTGTGTGTGATGTGTATGATCTTGTGTGTGACCTTGTGTGTGATCTTGTGTGTGACCTTGTGTGTGACTGTGTGTGACCTTGTGTGTGATCTTCAGTGTGATTTTGTGTGTGAACTTGTGTGTGTGATCTTGTGTGTGACCTTGTGTGTGACTTTGCGTGCGATTTTGTGTGATCTTGTGTGTGACCTTGCGTGTCATCTTGTGTGTGATCTTGTGTGTGATCTCTTGCGTGATCTTGTGTGTGGTCTTGTGTGTGGTCTTGTGTGTGACCTTGTGTGTGATCTTGTGTGTGAACTTGTGTGTGACCTTGTGTGTGATCTTGTGTGTGAACTTGTGTGTGATCGTGTGTGTGATCTTGCGTGTGACCTTATGTGTGATCTTACGTGTGAACTTGTGTGTGATCTTGTGTGTGTGATCTTGTGTGTGATCTTACGTGTGATCTTGTGTATGATCTTGCGTGTGAGCTTGTGTGTGATCTTGTGTGTGATCTTGTGTGTGATCTTGCGTGTGATCTTGTGTGTAATTTTTTGTGTGACCTTGTGTGTGACTGTGTATGATCTTGTGTGTGATCTTGCGTGTTATCTTGTGTGTGATCTTGTGTGTGATCTCTTGCGTGATCTTGTGTGTGGTCTTGTGTGTGATCTTGTGTGTGACCTTGTGTGTGATCTTGCGTGTCATCTTGTGTGTCATCTTGTGTGTGATCTATTGTGTGACCTTGTGTGTGATCTATTGTGTGACCTTGTGTGTGATCTTGTGTGTGAACTTGTGTGTGATCGTGTGTGTGATCTTGCGTGTGACCTTGTGTGTGATCTTGCGTGTGAACTTGTGTGTGATCTTGTGTGTGTGATCTTGTGTGTGATCTTGTGTGTGATCTTACGTGTGATCTTGTGTATGATCTTGCGTGTGATCTTGCGTGTGATCTTGTGTGTAATTTTTTGTGTGACCTTGTGTGTGATGTGTATGATCTTGTGTGTGATCTTGTGTGTGATCTTGTGTGTGACCTTGTGTGTGACTGTGTGTGAACTTGTGTGTGAACTTGTGCATGATCTCGTGTGTGAACTTGTGTCTGAGCTTGTGTGTGATTTTATGTGTGACCTTGTGTGTGATCTTGTGTGTGACTTTGTGTGTGATTTTGTGTGTGATCTTGTGTGTGATCTTGTGTCTGAACTTGTGTGTGTGATCTTGCGTGTGAACTTGTGTGTGTGACCTTGTGTGTGACCTTTGTGTGATCTTGTGTGTGATCTTGTGTCTGAGCTTGTGTGTGATTTTATGTGTGACCTTGTGTGTGATCTTGTGTGTGAACTTGCGTGTGAAATGCGTGTGACCTTGCGTGTGAACTTGTGTGTGATGTGTGTGACCTTGTGTGTGATCTTGTGTGTGATTTTGTGTGTGATCTTGTGTGTGATCTTGTGTCTGAACTTGTGTGTGTGATCTTGCGTGTGAACTTGTGTGTGTGACCTTGTGTGTGACCTTTGTGTGATCTTGTGTGTGATCTTGTGTCTGAGCTTGTGTGTGATTTTATGTGTGACCTTGTGTGTGATCTTGTGTGTGAACTTGCGTATGAAATGCGTGTGACCTTGCGTGTGAACTTGTGTGTGACGTGTGTGACCTTGTGTGTGATTTTGTATGTGAGCTTGTGTGTGATCTTGTGTGTAACTTTGTTTGTGATCTTGCGTGTGAACTTGTGTGCGATGTTGTGTGTGACCTTTGTGTGATCTTGTGTGTGTGATCTTGCGTGTGATCTTGCGTGTGACCTTGTGATCTTGTGTGTGACCTTGTGTGTGATCTTGTGTGTGACCTTGCTTGTGATCTTGCGTGTGATCTTGCGTGTGATCTTGTGTGTGATCTCTTGTGTGATCTTGTGTGTGAACTTGTGTTTGATATTGTGTGTGATCTTGTGTGTGATCTTGTGTGTGATCTTGTGTGTGACCTTGTGTTTGATATTGTGTGTGATCTTGTGTGTAATCTTGTATGATCTTGTGTGTGATCTTGTGTTTGATATTGTGTGTGATCTTGTGTGTGATCTTGTGTGTGATCTTGTGTGTGACCTTGTGTTTGATATTGTGTGTGATCTTGTGTGTAATCTTGTATGATCTTGTGTGTGATCTTGTGTTTGATATTGTGTGTGATCTTGTGTGTAATCTTGTGTGTGACCTTGTGTGTGATCTTGTGTGTGAACTTTTGTGTGATCTTGTGTTTGATATTGTGTGTGATCTTGTGTGTGATCTTGTGTGTGATCTTGTGTGTGATCTTGTGTGTGATCTTGTGTGTGACCTTGTGTGTGATCTTGTGTCTGAGCTTGTGTGTGATCTTGTGTGTGATCTTGTGTATGAACTTATGTGTGATCTTGTGTCTGAGCTTGTGCATGAACTTATGTGTGAGCTTGTGTGTGATCTTGTGTGTGATCTTGTGTATGAACTTATGTGTGATCTTGTGTCAGAGCTTGTGTATGAACTTATGTGTGATCTTGTGTGTGATCTTGTGTATGAACTTATGTGTGATCTTGTGTGTGATCTTGTGTGTGTTCTTGTGTGTGATCTTGCGTGTGAACTTGTGTGTGTCATCTTGTGTGTGATCTTGCGTGTGATCTTGCGTGTGATCTTGTGTGTGTTCTTGTGTGTGATGTTGTGTATGATCTTGCGCGTGATCTTGCGTGTGATCTTGTGTGTGATCTTGTGTGTGATCTTGTGTGTGATCTTGTGCGTGACCTTGCGTGTGAACTTGCGTGTGATCTTGTGTGTGATCTTATGTATGAACTTGTGTGTGATCTTGCGTTTGACCTTGTGTGTGATCTTGTGTGTTACCTTGTGTGTGACCTTGTGTGTGATCTTGTGTGTGACCTTGTGTGTGATCTTGTGTGTGATCGTGTGTGTGAACTTGTGTGTGATCGTGTGTGTGAGCTTGTGTGTGTGATCTTGTGTGTGATCGTGTGTGTGAACTTGTGTGTGATCGTGTGTGTGAGCTTGTGTGTGTGATCTTTTGTGTGACTTGTGTGAGCTTGTGTGTGTGATCTTTTGTGTGACTTGTGTGATCTTGTGTGTGAACTTCTCTGTGATCTTCTGTGACCTTGTGTATGTGTTCTTTCATACAATGAGTATAATGTTGTGTATGATCTATTGTGTGATCTTGTATGAGTGATCTTGTTGATAGTCGTGTTGGTCCTTAATGTACCGTAATTATGTCCTTTGTGTGTATTGTACCTACTATGTCCTTAATATATGGTATACTCCTCCTCAGTGTATTGGTTATATGTCCTTAATATATTGTTCCTACGTCCTTATCGTATTGTAATTATGGCCATAAAGTATTGTACCTATGTTCTTCACGTAATTGATGTATATTCTTAATGTACCATATATATATATATATATATATATATATATATATATATATATATATATATATATATAATATATATATATATATATATATATATTTATATATATATATATATATATATATATATATATATATATATATATATATATATATATATATATATATATATTGCATGAAACTCCACGTTATATTTAAGCAAATTGGAAAGAATTTTTTTTTCGTCTATGGTCCGGTATTAAATACGATTTTCATTGATCGTTCACCATCATTATAACTAAAACGACTTCCAAAAGTTAAAGGTTTCACAAAGGTGAATTTAAATTTAATTTAAAGCAGTGTTTCTTAATGCAGCAGCTCAATTGCAGGTCTTGGGAGAATATTTACATATTTACAATTATGCTACGTAAACGTTTAAGCATCATTTATCAATTGATTAGTTCTTTGACGGTATCACTTTTAGAAAAGTCAAAATCAGAATATGTGAAGATCGAAGTATGTCATACAGGAACCTCACTAAACTAGCTACAACATCTTTTTCAATCGTAATACCTAGAGAGTATACCTGGGGAGTATACCTGGAGAGGGTATTGGGGGTCAACGCCCCAGTGGCCCGGTCTGTGACCAGACTACATTCTGAGACTAGAGTTCATACACCTTGTGGTAATGACTTGAAAATTATAGCAAATGCATCAAAATAGGTTAGACATAGAACTTTTATAGTGTGTGTATGTCTGACAGCTTAGATCTGTACTTAGTGTCACTGTGTCAGCAATCAGATTATTGACATTGCAATAGATGTTCAGGTCCTTTAGATTTAGTCGGCCTCTATTGATCTGGCGTGCGCGTTAGGTCAGTCGCTGCCTGACTCCACGCTCAGCTAACATTCTGTCTTTGTTATGTCACTTTACCCTTAACAATATTTTAGCTTTCATTATTAATGTTAACCTGTAACAGATTTGTTGTTCGATATACTAGGTCTATGTAATATTTTATAGATTTTAATAATAGTTTATAATTACAAATTCTGAATTATAATAAACTGACCTTGGATAAATTTTTCATGTTACTATATATATATATATATATATATATATATATATATATATAAAATATATATATATATATATATATATATATATATATATATATATATATATATACGTAAACAATATAATGTAACACAATTTCTATTTAACTACTTTCAGCTTCTCGTAGTGACCCAAACAGACGGTCATTGCATAGTAAGTAAAAGAAATTTAGTCACACCGGCTTCAACTGATGTACCAAGTTAGCATATGTGTTCTTTCTTACTCAAATACACTCGTTGGTCTTCTCGCACCAGTCATCTGTGTATAATTACTAGGTCTCTATATCACTATTTTAGGCAATATCTGTACTGTTTCCTCAGCCGTTGTTAGCGACTCAGCAGGCTGATCATTTACTATCTGTTGCCACACGACAACAGAGCTCTTGTTCCTTTTGTTTTTGGCACTATATTAATTGCTAAGTTTTGGTTTTATCCTTTCTTTAAGTAACAACAATTTACGTGTTACGTGGTCTTTGCTAATACTGTCTTCCCTACTTCCAACTTTAACAGTCGCCGTCTGGTTGAATCCTCCCTAATACACAACTTTTCTTGTATGAATTTTAGTCGTGGCTTCGTCTCTGTAGATGCCTTTCTCTCCCACTACAGAACACCCGTGACCTAACCTGATTCCTCCTTTTTTCTTCTTTTCCCTCTTTCCCTTTCCTCTTTCCTTTTTTCTCTTCTGGGTTGTCTTTCTTCTGTCTTGTGTTTCTGTTCGTTCATTATTTATTTCATTATTTCCCCTCCCCCCCACCTCTGTGTTCTTGCTCTACCTCTGTGGGCACCTAGCTCCCTTCCAGTGCTCCCCTTTCTTTGTATTTGACTGGCTCCTCCTCCTTACTTTCCCCATCTCCGCCACTACTACTACTACTACTATTACGACTACCTCTTCCTGCCTATATATACCCGTTCTGCTCTACTTCTCATTACTACTACTACTACTACTACTACTACTACTGCTACTACTACTACTACCTCTTCCTGCCTATATATACCCGTCCTGCTCTACTTCTCATTACTACTACTACTACTACCTCTTCCTGCCTATATATACCCGTTCTGCTCTACTTCTCATTACTACTACTACTACTACTACTACTACTACTACTACTGCTACTACTACCTCTTCCTGCCTATATATACCCGTCCTGCTCTACTTCTCATTACTACTACTACTACTACCACCTCTTCCTGCCTATATATACCCGTCCTGCTCTACTTCTCGTTAGTGTGACTTTGTAAATGGTCCAAGTCGGACCGAAACGTCGTCGTAAGCTCCTCTCTTCTATGTGTGGGTTATTTGTGTATTGTGTACGTGTTACGTGTATTTTCTACTTTCGAAATGTCATATATGATAGTGGAATAATATATAAATAACTACATGGTGGAATAAATGACACTTAAATACAGGTGATACCTGTATTACTATCAGTATTTGTCCGACACAGTAGATAACTAACTTTATTGCCATCAGTATATGTCCTTCGTCAAACACATTAAATATCTTTATTAAACACAATGTTTGTCCCATCAATGGCTGAAATGTCGTTAATAAAGACATTCACCGTATCTAAGTGTCATGCCCATGTTAGCTGTTTTGTAGTTCGCTGCTTTGTATGACTACAAATCGTTTTATTTAGCGACTATTACACAAGTAACTTCTCTTTCATATGTCCAATAAAGTATGGTAATATAATTCTAATCTTTTATATACTGTTACTGATATCTTGCCTTTGCAAGATATTTTATTTTGTTATTTGCTCGATTCCGTCCACTTAAACTTTCGGCATTAATAATGGTTTACATAATGGCTTGCATAATGATTTATATAATGATCTATTAATTTGTAAACTACGTATATCAAAGACCAATAATCACTGTATATTTTTTCAGCTCCTCGTACTGACCCAAACAGGAGGTCGTTCACTAGTAAGCAAACGTGTTTGTTTTCCCCTTTAAAAAAATGCACAGCACTTTCCCATTATGTGTATTATCCTCCCTTTCTTAACGAGAAAGCTTTAAAAAATTGTCATCACTGATAAAATCCCTTTGAACCCACTTGGTGTTTTGAAAACATTTGGCAAGAAATGTTGTTCCTCTTGATGTTTAAGTAAACACACATCTTAGTGTTGTAGAGTTTATCAAAACTGTAGTTGTTTGGTCCCCGTTTTTGTCACTGTCAGTCTCCGAGTTTGCCAATCAGTTTGGCACAGAGCGTCAGTCACTTTGGCATAATCGGCTAGTAGTTTTTGACACTTTCCGTCAGTCGCTGTACCTACCACTCAGGGGCACTTATTTCCCTGGATGGTCGGTGCTTCTGCTGTGATAATGCAAATCACTGTCTGTCAAGGATTGGTTATTTATATACAAATTCCAGTTATTCTGAAGAAAAGACCAACACAACCATACTATCCCTTTTTAAAAGGATGGACCAGTAAACCAGCGGAAGGCCTCGGTCAGATGACTAAAAGCTCCAGTGATTGGTCATCATATTAAGACCCACTTCAGGAAACTCTTGACCTGTTTCCTGACGAGCCTTACTTGACTTAAGCTCGAGCGAAACGTCATTCTTCAGTATACCATTAGATTTATCTTTAATTGAGGGGAATATATCTTACAGCGCATATACACCGAGTGTATATCTCACACTGCATATACACCGAGATGTGTATGTCTCATTGCATATACGCCCAGACGTGTATATCTCTCATTGCATATATTCTGAGAGTTCAATCCCTATTTTAGGGATATCTGAATATTAGAGATATTATCTGAATGTTAGGGATATATGAATATTAGGGATTTTATCTAAATATTAGGATATGAATATTGGGGATAGTATCCGAATATTAATGATATTATCTGAATATTTGGGATATTATCTGAATATGAGGAATATATGTATATTGGGGATATTATCTGAATATTAGGGATATATGAATATTGGGGATATTATCCGAATATTAGGGATATTATCTGAATATTTGGGATATTTTCTGAATATTAGGGATATTATCTTAATATTCAGGCTCCAGTTTTTACCCTCTACTAATCGATAGGCTTTAAACCTGACAAAGCAATCAAGGTAAACAGTCATTGGGAACGAGGCTCACACTGAATTAACGATACTTAACAATACTGAGAGTTTCGTTAACTTTGTCGTTGAGAATTATACATCACGTTTCCCCTATTTGTTATTAACACAAATCACCAACAAGTTATCAAAGTCTTTTTTACCTGGAGCGATCATGTTTACTCCAGTGTCGACTTTTTTTGGCAGTGTTTTTGTTCCCAGTGGTGGACTTTCTTCCTTTAATGGCCCTGTTTCTTCTAGTGTTTTTGTTGCCTGTAGTTTCCTTGTTCATTCTGGTGTCCTTGCTCCCTTTAATATCCATATTCCCCTGTTCAAGCTGGTGTCCTTGTTCTGTGCAGTGTTCTTATTCTCATTAGTGTCCTTGTTCCTACTAGTTAGTGTCCTCTGTTCCCTGAATGTCCATGAGTGTCCTACTAATGTCCTGTGCTTCCTGAGTGTTCTTGTTCTTACTTATGTTATCTGTTCCCTGAGTGTCCTTGTTCCTACTGTCTTTTTTCCCTATTAATGTCTTTGCTCCCTTGGTTGTCTTTGTTCTTTGTAGTATCTATGTTATTAAACAAAAATAGCTTTCATTGTGTATATAGTTCTATTTTTATGTATAACAAATAACAAGGACAGAGGTGTCTACTGATAAAAAAAAGCGGTTACTATTTTTTAAAGTAACAGAAACTGATTTTTCCATCTTCTAGGTAACAAAAAAAGAATGGTTACCATCTTTTTGGTAAAAAATCAAGCAAACAAAGATTGTGCTTGCCATCTTATAGATAAAAAAGCAGTAGCTTTCATTTTATAGGTAACAAGAGCAGTGGTTACCCTCCTATAAGTAACAAAAACAGTGCTTCCTCTAAGTAAAAAAAAGGTTACCCGCTTGTAGGTAACAAAAACAGTGGATGCCATCTTTTATTTGTAACTGCAACTTGCCAGTAAGTAAACATTGGCACTTGCCATCAAAGTGACGTCTTGATTATATTACTGCAGTCTTGGGACAGCGCTAAACCCGTAGGGGTCATACAGCGACTAGGGAAGGTGGGGGAATGGGTGACAATTGGATACGATCCAAGGAAATGGAGGCTAGGCCCAGTTTCTTGGATCAAGAGACCATCACCGGGTAAAAATCAACGTTTTGTAACAACGCACTGCACTTTCTCTATTAATGTATGTCTGACCTCTGTATTTCCTTAACATGTTCATTCTTTGTGTGTGTGTGTGCGTGTGTGTATGTGTGCGTGTGTGTATGTGTGTGTGTGTGTGTGTGTGTGTGTGTGTGTATCTGTGTGTGTGTGTGTGTGTGTGTGTGTGTGTGTGTGTGTGTGTGTGTGTGGTGTGTATGTGTGTTGTGTGGTTGTGTGTGTGTGTGTGTGTGTTGTGTGTGTGTTCTGTGTTGTGTGTGTGTGTGTGTGTGTGTGTGTGTGTGTGTTGTGTGTGTGTATCTGTCTGTGTGTGTATGTGTGTGTTGCGTGTGTGTGTGTTGTGTGTGTGTGTTGTTGTGTGTGTGTGTATCTGTGTGTGTGTGTGTGTATCTGTGGTGTTGTGTGTGGTATTGTGTGTGTGTGTGTATCTGTGTGTGTGTGTATCGTGTGTGTGTGTGTGTGTGTTGTGTGTGTGTGTGTGTTGTGTGTGTGTGTGTGTATCTGTGTGTGTGTATCGTGTGTGTGTGTGTGTGTGTGTGTGTGTGTATCTGTGTGTGTGTGTGTGTATCTGTGTGTGTGTGTGTGTGTGTGTGTTTTCTGTGTTTTGTGTGTGTGTGTTTGTGTGTGTGTGTGTGTGTGTGTGTGATCGTGTGTGTGTGTGTATCTGTGTGTGTGTGTGTATGTGTGTGTTGTGTGTATTGTGTGTGTGTGTATCTTTGTGATGTGTGTTTGATTTATGTTGTGTTGTTGTGTGTGTGTGTGTGTATGTTGTTTGTGTGTGTGTGTGTGTGTACATTTCATGAGACACATAATTCTATGGATTTATTTTATGTTTTTTTTTTAATATCTTACAATTCAATACAGTTTGTGTATTTTTACTTGAAATTTTATGAATACAATTTCATTGTTTATATAACTGAGGAACTTTTCAAATAATTCTCCAGTGATGCCATTATGAAGCCTGATATTCATGTTTATATGTATATATGTCTATTAAATCCCAAACAATTTATATATTTTGATTATGTGGTGGCAGGTCATAAGTGTACATACCTGTACAAAACTGGTACAAAACTGGATTTGTGGCTCTCGTGTATTTAATAGGTTTGAGATCAGAGGCTTCCATGTTTTTTTTCAATAGTCACAAAATAAATCTACCTAACTACCTGTACATTCAGCTAACCACTGAAATATAAGATTGGGACAGTTTGGATTTGCATTACATTCCTGTTGGATACACATAGCATGAATATAAAGTAAGGGAGATATGAAAACTAAACCTTGGGCCACATGACCAGGAATCCATATATATGCTGGCCCCAGGATCTTTTTTTTTTTTTTTAGGGAAAATCAGTTGTAGAGCAGTAGTGGCGGAGAGTTAGTCAGAGCCTAGTGGCGTAGTTTACGTAGGCTCTAGCAGTTCTTGTGTGCTAGCTAATTAGGTAAAACAAAATTTGCTGAAACTCTCAGGTGAGCGGCACTTCACAGTCTAGAATGAAACATAACAAATTTCTGCTAGGCATGTTGTGCATTATGGCTCAGGAGTCCGCACCATTACACTGCTGAAATATTACGTCAATATTAATGGATTATATTTTCTGTATCCTTATCACTGTAATATGTCACTGAGGTTCTTGTTGTATAACTGTTCACTGCCACGGTATGAGTCACGTGGGGTCATATTGTATAATTGTTTACTGCTAGTTTTGTCTCACGATTCCAGATACAAGTTCTCAACAGATAACAAGATCAAACAAGTAAAAAAAAGTGAGCTTGTAGTCTCATTGTCAGGTATTGTCTAGCCTTTCTTTAACATGTAACCGCTAATTATTTTTCTCTGTAAGGATTTTATGCTAAGAAATATTCTAGAGAAAGATAATTATTAGTAGGTACAAGACCTTGAATGCTATAACATCACAAGGTATTTGGGAGAATATTTCATGCTGGGGAAGGTGATTTAGCGAGCCACCGAGAAGATGGTTTTATAAGTATTATAGGTATTTTATACTGCTGATAAACAATGCCTGTTTGTAATGTTGTGTTGCCAAGGTTTTTGTTGTAGTTGTTCAGACCCAGTTTCTGAAATGTGGGTATTCTTTTGTTTTCGACAGCTGAATTTGCAAGCTAGGAGCTCTTGTTCTACCTCTACGCCTTTCAACGTTCAGCCCTAAGATACATTACCACCCTCCTGAGATGCAATCCAGTCGGCTAACACTTGGGTATCTATTTCCTGTTAGGTTAACACGGGTAAGAAGGCTCATCCTCTTCACCTGCTCTAGGCTCGAATCCCGGAGCTTCGATAATGAGCCACGAAGCGGCACCTTTGTCAGCATGCAAAGAAATTATCATGAAAGGTCTCACTGGCTCACAACATTTTACCCAGTCAGGCAGAGACTATGACAGCCTGACTCATCAGATACCGAACCACGATTAGTGGACGTAACCTCGGTCTCCATTACCGAGTTCACCACCGGCAAACGGTGGTCGCTGCTGCTGCCACAACCCCACCACAAAGCCAGCATCAATGAACGACGATTCATCTTATGACAAAGACCCGCACCAGGGGCTTTTTTTCCTGACGAATAAACTAACAACTAATATCAATCCTAGGAATTCTTTGTGAAGTTAATTAATGTAGCCTTTTGTTGCAGCAGTGGAAAAATAACAATACGAACTGTTCGGTTAAATGACATTCGAGGTTTTTGTACATCGGAGAACTCGTTATTTCAATATATTGAGGGAGAAGTAATTCTGTTAAACAAAACACATAAATTTGATATACATTACACGTAAATTAAAATTCGGGGTTATAAAAATTGAAGGGAATAAAGTATCACTTACCAGAAAAACTAATCAATTTAGGGAATTCGATAAGCTGATTCCAAAAGGTGAGACCAGAAACGTCCGAACACTGTATCACGTCACTGCCTATCTTGGTGTTCGAACACAGACCAAAATGTGTCTCGTGACCCAGTTACCAGAGGAACATGGGTGTTTACTGAGATGATGGGAGTGATAGAGGTGGTAATGATGATGATGATAGTGAAGGTGACAGTAGTGCTGATGATAGTGGAGACAGTGGTGGTGGTGGTAATGATGATAATGATGAGAGTGATGAAGGTGATAGTGGTGTTGATGGTAGCGACAGTATTGTTAATGGTGATTAGAGTGATGACGTTAACAGTGGAGTTGATAACTGTGGTAATGATAGTGGTGATGGTGATAGTGGTAATGATAATGGTGATGGTGATGATGGTAGTGTTAATGACATGAGAGTAATGATAATGGTAATGATAATAATATGAGAGTGAGGACAAGTAATGACTGGTGATACACTTAATCCATCATTTAAAGCCTGACACTACAGGTTTCAACTTCTATTTTTCTGGATAACGACACGTAAGCAAATACTTCGTACATTTTATTATAAAAATATCGTCCTGGAACCTTGGTCAACCATAACTGAAAACTGATAATTCTTATTTCCCTACAACAAGAATACAAATGACACAGAATTAGTTAACATAATTAGCAAACTTTATAAAAAGCTTTAGTTTATTCAGTGCATTTCGGCCAGTCTTAGAATTATAGTTACTAAACATTTGTTAATTAGGTTAATTTGCTAGAAAGTTGCAATTTTCAACCCATGACATATCCAAAGCACTTATGAAGGTCACATAAGGAGAACTGTGAGTCATTTTGAACGTGGGCTTAAATTTTTGTTGTGCATTAGGGGCAGTGATCAAGTCGAGAGAGATCTCAGAACATCTGTCAGAAGCAAGACTGAAGAACCCGGAGTTGGAAAGTACAATGAGACGTCTCCTAGCGAGAGTTTCAGTGCTCATCAGAGTACTTCCTAAGGCAGGAGTAAACAGAAGGAAACAAGGTGAACCTTGAACCAGTTTGATGTTGGGAAAGAAAGTATTCGAATGAGTTTTAAGATAATTATTATGTTTAATTTTTATGTGACAAAATGTTAATATCCATTGCTTTTCTCCACAGCAGCTCGCACTGACACAAACAGACGGTCATTCAACAGTAAGCAAATGTATAGCTATCATACCCCGCACGACCAGCGATGCTCAGTACCATCATATCATTGTACCTCTGTTGTGTCCCCTGCTATTTGTCTGTCGTCTTCCCTGTTTATAAAATCTATAATGAATGTTGACTAATAAAGATGATTTTATATATACGTATATGCAAAATAACCACTGTGAGAAAAAATAGTTTATTTCCAAGCGCTTTCGTGATTTCTCACATTGTCCAGGAACTTGATAATGTGAGAAATCACGAAAGCATTTGAAAAAATCGCTATTTTTCGCAGTGGTTATTTTGCATATTGTGATATCACCTGTCTACTGTGATATCTTACTGCATATATATATATATATATATATATATATATATATATATATATATATATATATATATATATATATATATATGCAGTATGATCACAATAAACAGGTATTAAAACAGTTTTAAGGAGTACGTGGGATTCGATCTTTTGACAGCGGATTCACACGACCGTGTCATTAATTTTTATAAATGAATTCTCGTGGTTTTTGTGTTTGATCTCGAAATGGTTTCTCTCCGGTTACTGTGATTTTTTTTTTTAAATTCTTACGTTGTTCCATAATGAGTATATGCCAATTGCATGTTGCAGTGAGTTGCTGAAGCCTTTAGAAAATATATTCATCATTGTTGTACTCTATGGAATAACTTCACATTCAAACCATATACTAATATATATATATATATATATATATATATATATATATATATATATATATATATATATATATATATATATATATATATATGTCGTGCCGAATAGTTAAAACTTGCGACTTTGGCTTAAAAAACAACCCCGAATAAGGCAAGTGAAAATTTGTGTATGCCATAATTTCACAAAAATCATTCTGAACCTAACGAAAAAATATATTTCATTTTGTTTATTAGTAAATTATTGTAAACTTATCTAAAATATATTTAGTTGGATTGGGCTAAATTGAATTGCGCTTGTTATAATAACGTCAGGTAAGTTATCTAAGGTTCTTTTATTACAAAATTACTAATTTTCACATTAACATAAATGAAAAAATATAATTTTAAACGTAAAAGAGAAATTTTTAGAAAGGACTTAATTTTAAATGAGTTTTTGCTAACTGACCAGTTTTACTTATTCGGCACGACATATATATATTTATATATATATATATATATATATATTATATATATATATATATATATATATATATATATATATATATATTTGTTTATATTTTGTTTCGTTTGTTAAATATATTTTAGTTAAGGTCCATATCACATTATGTACATTTCGTTAATGTGCTTTAGAGAGGAAGGTTATACGTACTGTAAGGAACTGCATGCTGTGTAAACTTTATATATATATATATATATATATATATATATATATAATATATATATATATATAATATATTATATATATAATATATAGATAGTGTTCGGAATAAAATAAAATCCCCAACAAATAATATTTGTAGATTGCTATATTATTTACGTGAAAGCATCTGTTTTATGTACTGTAATTTTCACTGCCCACATTGGTAATGTTTCATGTAATACGATTCTACTAGTGTTTCATCTAATACTTTTTATCTATAATTTTTATTGTGTCTGATACAGTTATGTAGACGGAATAATTTTTGTGATATCGTATAATTACTGTATGTATACAGACTATAATTTTTTTAGCCTACAATTTAGCTTTGTGATTGCTTAATAAATTAAAATTATGCAAATATCACCTATAGTAATTGCTATCTTATCGTATAACTTCAGTGTGTAGCGTTAAACAACGTGGTAATCGGGTAGAAATATAATCCGCATTTGGAATTCCTTTTTCATTTACGGGTTTATATGGAATTAGTCATATCATTTTTGGTTCGTCAGTTGTGATTATATATATATATATATATATATATATATATTATATATATATATATATATATATATATATATATATATATATATTATATATAATATATAATACATATATATATATGTATATCATTAATATACAAAATATGTAAGTTACTTTTTCAGTTATTTATAAATTAGCATGTTGAGTATTTACGATTATGATATATACATTTATTCACTGTAAATATGAAAGCATTTGCATGTAGCATTTTTTATTATTAATATTAAAGATATATTTTGGTAGTGAATAAATATATAAAGATATATTATGCATAGTCTTCATTCTGTTGGGTAAAAGATTGCCGGGTTATTTTATTTTTTTTAGTACATCGAGATTCATCTTTGCTCTAAAAAATATAAAAATCCTCATTTTTTTATAATTTACATAACAAATATCATGAGAGATTACGCGATAAAATTCTCATCTTAGCTGTCAGTGGATTTTATTAATTTGTTGTTAGTGTTGCTGTTACTTCTACTGCTGCTGTTACTTTTCTTGTTGGTGTCGCTGGTGCTCCTGCAATCTGTAGTACAGTTTTACCACGACCTCAAAAACTAAAATCTTGAACAGTATACCTTCTGCTGTTATTCCTGCTCCTCACACTATAACTAGTACTCTGCTAGTTGCAGTTCTGCAGCAGCTGATCTATATTTGCACAGCTACTTCTCTGCTAGTTGCTAGTTCTGTTGCTACTGCTATTATAATATTTCAACTTCTACTAATAGGGCTCCTTATTTATTACCTCTACTATCGCATGCTATGCCTCTTATTATGCTGTTATTACTACTGCCGTTCCTACTACTACAAATAATTCACTTACACAAATTTCAATTTAAAATCAAATGTATTTGCTACGTAATTTTCAATTCTGAATACTGCATATAGCAAATTTTTCGTGAGCATTTTTTCCTCTGTAAATAAATGTGTGGGATCATTCACCGTCACTTTCACCATGAAGCAAAAGTGAATGTTCATGATGTTCACGTTCACTTCACTGACTTAAATATTACTGAGAATCACAACAGTAAGCCCGTGCAGTCATTTGTATTCTCACTTGCCAGAGGCTTTAGAAAGTGGCAGGAAGCCACGTACGCTTAGTTTATCACGCCTGCATTTTTCAAAAACGTAATAACAGAAATTAATATCTTGTCGACTGTTTCAAAATATAAATATATTTTTTAAATGGCCGTTTTAAATATAGCAAAAATGGAAAAGTTGTAAACACAGAATGCGATTTTAGATGTAACCCAGAGAGACTCGTTTTCGACGAAACAAACTCTGGAAGCCAACTAGCGAACCTTTATTGATGAATAATGTATACATTGAGATCTTGACGTCTGTGTTATACCTTTGAGAGTCACCGTCGTTCATCTTCCTTAGAAGGAAGAGACGATAGGTGTGCTGATTAGCATAGATTTGTACCACGCGGCTCTACGCTCATCAGTTGTCGTTTTACCTCTGTCACATTTCATCACTTTTTCTTCTTCTAATTTTATGACGTGTATTGCTATATTGGGAACTACGTAGTGTCATGCCGTTTTCTAAAAGCTTTATCATTACATAATTTTTGTTAAAATTTCATGTTAACTTTTTTCTCGTTTTTCACCTTTGTTCTCAGTAAGGGATAAAAAGGTACAATATTTACATGAATCTCATAATTTCAAATTATTATCTTTGTTTTGTATGAAAATTTAGTACATTCATACCAATAAAAACTAAGGTTCTATATGGGAAATACTAACAGGTATGACCTCTTACTTTCAGCACGTGCTGCTGCCAACAGACAGTCATACATTAGTAAGAAAACTTAATTACTTATGGTTGTTGTTGCAGAACATTACCTGTGTTGTTATGTGTTTGTTCACCCCTATGGTAGATAGACATGTTAAATTATTTTTTTTTTTCGATATTACTAATCGCATTTTCGTGATGATTTCCTGTAAAATATTGTTTTATGTATTTTTCCAGATGTAAATGAATCCTGTATTGACGTGTTTGTGTGTGTGTGAATGAGTATGTATTTGTCTGTAATAAAAAAAAATTTGTAATTTTGTCTTCTAGTTGTAAGTCCAATACAGGTCGTTGTACTCTTCCATAACTTTCAGAAAGATCCCTAAGTGAGGTTTGCAGAATACTGTATTTCAGTGTTTTCAAAATTAGTTGAATAATTCCTTAGATTTATAGCTTTTATTCATATCAATGCGAAAACATCAGTTTTTTTTTATTTTACTTTAAAGTAGCATTTCTATTGCTGAGAGACCTGGAGTCAAAATATTGTGTCTGGAACAGGTCACAAATAAGCCTCACTTTCGTAAAGAAACTCTAGACAACATTTCAATCCATCGTGGACTACTGTCGGTCGCAACTTCATACTGGTCAAGGACGGACCGAAACGACATTTAAAGTTGCCTTCTACTTGTGTTAAATCATGAGAATTCTCCCTTAATATGTCTATTTCTACTTCCTTGTTTGGATAATATTTCTTTTAGAAATTAATAAGTAGCTTGTTTTATATATTTTCTGCCCTAAACATTTTTTCAATCTTATAATATCTTAGACATTTTTATGACTATGGGTGGAACCTTTTGTTGGAAAAAAAGTCAATGTGGTTTTGTTTAGAATCCTATTGTTTGTGTTTTACATGTACTTGATTTCTTAACTATTTATTTATAAATTTCGGATGTTACTCATTGTCCTACCACTATCTTCTCCATCCTCTTTCTTCACGTCGCCTGCCTCCCGCCACTATGTATGTTTCTTGCGTATTTGGTTCTATATTAGGACTGAAGAAGTTACTCGTGGCGAAATGATTCCTTTATTTAATGCCTTTATTTAATGCCTTTATTTAATGTCTTTATTTAATGCCTTGAACTGTACGTGTCTTTGTCAAAGTTTATAAATCTCACATGTGCATCTATGAATATAAAGTAAAATTTGTTCCTTTATACCTTTATCAAACGAAAAAAAAAATTGTAGCTATCTTTTGTTTTTCTGTACCTTTACTGAGTAAATTTTTGCTTTCATATTACTTTATAAAGCTATCCTGTGTTTATTTTAACCTTTGTAAAATTGACCGGTGTTTCTATATACCTTTTATACCTTCATGAAGCTAACCTCTGATTTCACGCACGATACCTTTAATAAGCTGTGTTGCCGTATACCGCTATGGCCGGTGTTTCTACATATCTTGAAATAACTAACTTGTATTTCCGTTATTTCAGAGGGTGTTCAACAAACGCCAGAGGTTCCACTTAGCACACCAGCAGAAACTCAGGAGGTACTGTGAGTGTTCTCCCTCCTTGCACACCTCCACACCTCTGTATTATATAAACTGCACACCTCCACAACCTGAGTGCACTATATATCCCTCAATCCACACCAACGTTTCTTTTTTTCCATTAATTTTGCTCAATCACTCTCCTTCATTCCACACTATCATGTAATTATAAACTCCCTTTCTCATTCTACACTCACAGTGTTCACGCCATCTCTCTCATTCCATATTAACACGTTATTCCACAGAAGCTGTACTTATTTCTTCTTTCTTTAATTTTCACCATAATTTCCTTTCCCCGTCAAATGTTCACCCCAACTCAACATCAGTACCTTTCTCATGCACGAAATCTCCACACCTCAGGACCTTTCGCATCTCCCGATACATGCTTCACCACATTCACACCGTCCTCGTCAACACACATTTCTTCTCCCCAGAAATGCTGTCAGATTAGCATCCAACCCACAAATTAAAGATAAATGTCTAGACGACATTTCAGGGTGTCCTGAATCATTATCAAGCCACTAACGAGGGAGAAAAGAGAGATCAGATGAAGTAAGGAGACATCTGAGTTGCGGTGCGGTGAAAGCCAGGGTCAGGAAAGGCAAGCATCAACAGAGACAAAACCAGGATTAAGACTCATGTTAGGAATGTGTATAAAGGAGTATTCTACAAGACGGCATCGGTGAAGGCAAGGAGAGGGATACATAGCTTCGGAGGAGGACCAACTTATGTGATGGCTATGGTCTCCAACATGAAAGAGAAGACATAGTTAAACAAACAAAAAAAAATAAATTTAATATCCAGTGGACTAAAGATATTATTTTTCTTTTGTAAATTTTTACCAGGGAAGGCAAATTACAGAAGTCTGGCCTACTCTCTTTTTCATAATAATGATCCAGGACGACTGAAAGATTGTCTAATGATTTACCTCCAATTTGTGGGTATATTGTTAACAGTTCCAGCTGTGGTATTATGATTTTTAGCCTACTAGCTCAACATAATCAACATCAGGAGTTTTAGTCACTAGCTAAAGAAGAGCACACAGACGTGTTGGTGTCTCGTTGATAATCCAAAGATCAACGAGAAGACGAAATGTTCACAGTTTCGTAAAACACAAGGAATATAAATACAAGGGATAAGGGGCTGGACTCGGTGTATATAATCGATTTTTTGTCCTGTGAATATTCGTGTCTTAATGCTTAAAAAGCATTCAGTAATGGACGTGTGTGTGTCTGTGACAGGGAGGCGGGCTAGTGTGGGCACCGAAGTGGGTAGTGAGACTATCGGCTAGCCTGGCTATCCTGGGTGGCGCCTTCCTCTTCTCCAGCATCAGCGTCCTCACCAACAGCTTCGGCCAGTCCAACCGCACCTCAGAAGGCCCCAACAAGGCCACTGGAACTATTTTTATGGCATTTGGATGTGAGTATCGTTTTCCTTCTTATTCTCCTGTTATCTTTTTTTTCTTTTGTCCACTTTTAAATTCAACTACGTTACTTTCTATAATGTTGCACTTACAGACATATGCTCAACATTTGCATGCCATCTTTTCCGATTTGTAGTTGTATAATTTTTTTAATAAAAATGTAGCCCGAGCACACGCAGGCTTCACCTTCTTGGCCAGTGATTGATGTTGACGCCTTCATGGATATCAAGTCAGCATATGTATGGCTTCTAAACCTCGCCTATCTGACTTCTGTCTTACTTCTGTCTTCCATCTTCTATGTTACTTGTCTTACTTCTGTGGGGATATATCTATCCTCCCCATTTCTCACTTTTTTGTCTCGTAATACAAAATGACGTGTCGATAAAAATCAGTAAAGCCTAATAAAATAACGGAATTGCAAAATATTGATGTAAAGTGAAGAGAATATTTCATATTTGATTTCGGATTTTATTTTTTTTTCGAAATGTAAGCATCTCTAACTTTTAGTTCCTAAATTACATTGTTATAATAATAAAACATTTGCATTCTTATTCTAAAATAAAGATGTCTCCTGCTTTCTATATGACAGGATGATCTATGGTACTTGATATTAACGTTATGGTGTTGGTGCAGGTATTTCCATTATGGTCTCTCTGGGTTTGGCATACTATGGCTGCCGGAAGCGCAAGAAGAAGGATGAAGATGAAGTAAGTGACAGCGGCCGGATAGTCAGCTTCGCACCGGCCATCTCCACCACCGCCGACATGTTCCCGTGGCCTTCTACTCCCTCCCATCACAATTCTTCTGGCTCTCCCTATAGCACTCCCGCTGCGGGACAGCCACCGTCCTTCACGGGTCCTCTTGCCGGGGAAGCTTCCATATACGCCAAGCACACAGGAGGACCTCACTCAAGTAGGGATATCAGGGAACAACGCACTCCTAGAGCGTCTCCTGGGCCAAGCGGAACCCAGAAGAAAGTGGAAAAGGTGGAGTTACCCGTGGTGTCTCTGCCCCCTGCCTCCCCTAGTCCGGGACCCTCACACGCGTCCTAGAGTTTCAGGGCGGGGAAGAAGGTGCTATTCACGAGCGTCCATACCAGCCTTCTGAACGGCTCTCATCTGGGAATTTTCTTACACACGAATTTTGTATTGCATGAAATATTTCTATTCTTCTATGTCTTTCGCATATTTGTTGATTTTGTTGAAGCCGATGATATTCCCTCAAACCCTCTACAGTTTATATATATATATATATATATATATATATATATATATATATATATATATATATATATATATATATATATATATATATATATAGTGCCTAATAAGCCGAACTGGTCAATTAGACCGAACTACCCTAAAAACAGAACTTTTCCAAGCAATTTCTTTATGGATTAATATATATTTCACTGAATATGGTGCAAAAAATTTTTTTTGTTACTAAACCAAACTCAGAAACCTAATCTATTTTTTTTTTAAATATAACTCATAAATATATTGTAGGCTAGTTTAAATTTATTTAATTTTACTTAAAATTATCAATATATCAATCTGTGAAAATCAATCTGAACCTGACATATATATATATATATATATATATATATATATATATATATATATATATATATATATATATATATATATATATATATATATATATAACATATATATATTAATTTCAATTACTATTAATAATCATACAATAATTTTTAAAGGGGGGTGGAAAAAGAAGCCAGAGAAAGGCCTCAGTCAAATAACCAAAAGCTTCAGCTGTGGGTCATCATTATGCACCGCCCCAGGAAACACTCGTTCGTTTCCTGACAGATCTAATATGTACCAATTAGTATTAAATAAATTTCAACCGATCCTTGACGTGTTAAGCAGAATTAAGATAAAGCAACTTACGTTCATTAAAACAAGGTTATTTGAGCTATCTTAAGTTAGGTTTGGCGCAAAACTAAAAAGTTTTACTCCCTCTCAACTCTTAATGAAAACTTTTATTTATTAACCAATCTAAGTTTTTTTTTTTTAAGAAAATTTTAACTTTTAGGACAGATCGGCCTAACTGATAACTTGGACTTATTAGGCAATATATATATATATATATATATATATATATATATATATATATATTATATATATATATATATATATATATATATATATATATATATACAATATATATATATATATATATATATATATATATATATATATATATATATATATATATATATATATATATATATATATATATATATATATAAAACCTTACTACAACAATTATGCAAATTTAGACTTACGTAGAAATTTGCTCCTTCTGTTAAATATTAAATAGAAGAGTAGGCAAGCATAGTAGATACAGAAACATACAGATCTTCGTGGCCTAGTACTGGAGATCTCCGTATCCTAGTGAGATCTCCGGTGACAAGTCCTGAAGACCTCCGTGTCCTAGTGACGGAGATATCCATGGCCTGGCGCTGGAGACCTCCATGGAATACTACTGAAGATTTCCGAAGCCTAGTGAGATCTTCTTGACTTAGTACTGGAGATCTCTATGACCTAGTACTGGAGATCTCCGTGACACAGTACTGGAGATCTCGCTGGCCTAGTATTGGAGATCTCCGTAACCTAGTGCTGGAGATATCCGTATTCTAGTATTGGAGATCTCCTTGGCCTAGTAATGGAGATCTCCGTGTCCTAGTAGTGAAGATCTCCGTGACCTAGTACTAGAGTTCTCTGTAGTCTAGTACTGGAGATCTCCGTACCCTAGTACTGGAGATCTCTGTACTCTATTGCTGGAGATCTCCATGGTCAAGTACTGGGGATCTCCGTGACCTAGTACTGGAGATCTCTGTGGCCAAGTACTCGAGATCTCCGTAACCTAGTACTGGATATGTTCTTTCCCTAGTACTGGAGATCTCCGTGATCTAATACTGGAGATCTCCGTAACCTAGTACTGGAGATGTTCTTTGCCTAGTACTGGAGATCTCCCTGGCCTAGTACTGGAGATCTCCGTGATCTAGTACTGGAATCTCTGTGACAGTATGGGGATCTCCGTTTACTTTGTACTGGAGAACTATATTTCCTATTTGGAAATTTCCCACATGGGCCCCAGTGCTGGGGGACTTCATGGCCAGTGCTGGAGAGCTTTTATGGCCTAGTGCTGGGGAAATTTTCATGGGGCCCAGTGCTAGGAATTTTATGGCCTAGTCTGGGAATCTTTATGGCCTAGTGCTAAAATTTTATGGCCCAGTGCTGGGGGACTACATGGCCCCCGCGCTGGAGATTTTTCATGGCCCAGTGCTGGGGATTTTCATGGGGCCCAGTGCTGGGGAGCTTCATGGCCTTTGTGCTGGAGATCTACATGGCCTTTGGCTTTGGGGATCTTCCTTTGGGCCCAGTGCTGGAGAGCCCCATTCATTTCCCCAGTTTCTGGGATTTCATGGCCTAGTGCTGGAGAAACTTTAGGCCTAGTGGTGGAGATTTCCCCTTGGCCCAGTGCTGGGATCTTTTATGGAAACCCAGTGGTGGAGAGCTTCATGGGCCCACTGCTGGAATTTCCCTTGGGCCCCCGTGCTGGAGATCCCTTGGCCCGTGTGGGGGATTTCATGGCCTAGTGCGGGAGGGTTCATTTTATAATTTCCCAGTGCTGGAAAATCCCTTTATGGGGCCCATGCTGGAAAAACTTCCCTTGGGGCCCAGTGTGGAGATCCTCTTGGCCTAGGGGGGGCTGGAGGGTCTTTAAGACCCCAGGGTGGAAAGGGGTTCTTTGGGCCACGGGGGGGGGATTGGGATTTGGTAGTGGGTGGGACCTTTGGGCCTAAGGGTGCCCCGGGGATCTTTATGGCCCAGTGGTGGGAAAAACCTTCCATTTTGGGCTAATATGGAGGCTTCATGGGGCCAAGTGCCCGGAGACTTCAAAGGGAAACCAAAAATGCTAGATCCCTTTATGACCCCTTTTCTGGGGATCCTTCAAGACCGGGTTGCTGGGACTCATGGCTGGGGGGGAGGGTCTTTCCCGGGGCTGTGCCTGGGACCTTCATGGCCATGGGGAGGGGGGTTAGACCAAAAGGGGGGTCCATGCCAAGGGGGGGGATCTTCATGGCCTATTCCCCGGAGGCTTTATGACCTTTGGAGGCTCCCCCCCAAGGGGTTGGGGTGGGAGACTTTCATTAACCCTAGTGGTTGGGGGAAACCTTTTTTTAAAACCAATCTGGGTCCTTTCCCTGAAAAGTGGTGGAAGAAACCCCCTTCATGGAAAAACCCCAGTTGGTGGAGGGATCTTCATGGGGGGGGCCTTGGGGGGGGAAAAATCTTCATTTAACCTACCTGCTGGAAATCTTCATTGGGGGCCGTGCTGGGTGATCTTCAAAGGGCAGTTTTTGGTTTTGGGGATTTTTCAAAAAAAGGACCTTGGGGGGGGGAAAAATCTTCATGACCTAGTTCTGGAGAATTTAATTTACCTAGTGGGTGGGGAATCTTTCCAAAGGGCAAGTGGTTAATCCATGGGGGGAAAAAGGGCCCCGGAGGTCTTCAAATGACCTAAAGGTGGGAAAAAATTTTTTGACCCATGCTAGGGAAAAGGGTCTTTCATGAACCTAGTTTCTGGAAAGGCTTCATGAAAAAGTGGGGGTGGGGGGGGGATCTTTATGACCTTGGGCTGGAGATTTCAGGAAAAAGGTTTCTGGGAATCTTCATGACCAATAAGGGGGGGGGGGGGGGGGGGGGGGCTGGGATCTTTTCATGACCCTAAATGTGGAGATTTTTCTGACCTTTGTTCTGGGAAAGACCTTAAAAAAAACCAGTGCCTGAAAAATCTTCCAAAGACCTTAAGGGCCGCTGGAGATTCCCTTTAAACCCAAGGCGTTGGGGGGGGGGTTTTTCATTTTATTTAAGTTTTTGGAGATTCTTTATGAACCCTTTGTGAAAAACTTTTTGGGGGTCCAAAGGGGAAAAACCTAGTGCTGGAAGAAACTTCAAAGAACCAAGGGGCTGGGAAAATCTTCAATGCCTTATGGAAGGGTCCCCTTTATGGCCCCAAGGGGGGGGGGTTGGAAAAAATCTTTTTTATGACCTGCTGGAAAAAAAACTTTTGAAAACTGTCTGGGTATCTTTATGCCAGTCTGGAGACCCATTGGGGGGCCTTTTTTTGGGGGGCTTGGGAGTCTTCCCCTGACCCCTTTTTGGGGCCCTTTTGGGGGTTTTTTCAAAAACCCTTTTGTTTTTTGGGAGATTCTTTTTACCAAATGGGGCTAGTTCCCGGGGGAAAACCCCCAATGGGAACCCAAAAATGGGGTTTTTTGGAAAAATCTTTTCCCCCTTGGGGGGGCCTTAGTGGGTTTGGGGGAAACTTCAGGGCCTAAGGTTGGGCTTGGGGAAAATTTCCCTTCATTGGGCCTTTGGGGGGGGGGGGGGGGGGTGGGAGGGGTAAAAATTCATGAAACTGTGCTTGGGAGGGTTCATCCCTTCCAAGGGGGGCCCCCGGGGGAGGGGGGTCTTCCAATGACCAGTGCGGAAAAATTTAAGGGGCCTTAGGGGGGGGGGGATTTCATGGGCCTTTTGGGGTTGGGAGGGGCCCTTTAAATAAGTCTGGGGGGGGGAAATTTCAAATTTTACCTTTAGTTTGGTGGGGATCTTTCCATGCCCTTAGTGTGGGAATTCTTTTAAAAAGGGGGGGGGGGGGGGGGGGGGGGGGAGGGGGGGGTTTTGGAAAATTATTTGGGGGTAGGTGGGGAGGGGGGGTTTTGATTTGGGGGGGTTGGGGGAAACTTCCTGACCTTTGTGGATTTTCCCCGGGGCAGGTGCCTGGAAAATTCCCTTCCAAAGAACCCCCCCGGGTTAAAATTCCTTTAGAAATAGTGGGTAAAATTCTTCCCAAGGGCCCTATGAAAAGGAATTCCTTCAAATTGGGGCCAGGGGGGATCCCCCCTTTTATGACAAAAGGGGGAATTCCTTCCATTCAAACCCCTTAGTGGTTTTTGGGGATCTTCAAAAAATAGTCTGGAGAAAAACTTCCCTGAAACCAAGGTGGTTTGGGGGATTTATGACCTAGTTGGAAAAGGGGGCAGATCTCATGACCCTTGTGGTGGAGGGTCTTCCCCTTTTACCTAGTGGTGGAATCTTCAGGGGGTTTGGGGGGGGGGGGGGGGGGGGGGGGGGGGGGGGGGGGGGGGGGGGGGGGGGGGGGGGGTGGGGGGGTTTCAAAAGACTTAGGGGGGGGGGGAAACTTTTATGACCAGTGC